TTTTCCTTACATGTGAGACGTGCTATTCACTTTTCAGTTTGAATTTAATAGAAAGGTATTAATTCTGTCTTGAATGTATGAATAAAATGTAGTTTTTGACAGCCAAACTGCACAGTTGCGGTACTAGCCTTAGGCTGGTGTCAGAGTCCGCGATCAGCGAATCGCGCTAAGCTTGCGGCGGTTCGCGGCCTCTGACACCAGCCTTATATGTAGTAGCAAAATTATTGTCTGGTTACCTTCCTTGGCGGCGTCGAGAGCCGTTCCCTTGCTCCGGTGCGAATTTCGGCATGGGCGGCACGACGTAGGCGTGGGAAAATGCTTGTGTGGGAATCGAAGATCGCCGACACGCGTTGAACCACATTCTGAATATTCATAGAGCGTTGCCTCTAATCACCTGATTAGCTAATCAAAAACATCAACGACACGATACTCATTTATCATTAATGACTGAGTCACGAGCAGAAGGTGTGATCACACGCAAATCTCAGGAGCTACTCAGTTGATAGGATGAAAAGTCAAAAATACTTGCACGTGTAGAGCTTATACAGTGGAACAACTTGATTTTGTGGGTCACGGGTTCATCGCTAAGTTTAGGCCTCCCCCCCCCCTTAAGCCTCAGGGGAAGGGGACTCCGGCGCGCGTAAGCAGTTCTCATTTTTTGGCTGTTGTTTCATGACAGCGATTTATGCGAAATATCAAGCAAGCTCAAAAAATTTAGGCTCCTTATATTCTTCAGGTAAAATACGAGAAATAGCTCCCATTTTGAGCTTGCAAACAAACAAAACTGGTTCTCATTCTTTCTAGAAAAATGGAAATATTTCAGTGGTGTGGGAGCACTTTGAGAAGGGATTTCACAATTTGAAAGATACACTGAGAAAGCTTCCTGCTACACTCAGCTTGTACATGCCCTTCAAGAGTAAAAACTACTTGTTTACCGTAGGATGATGTTTGTGGTCGAAAAAAAATGAGTAGTACGTACTCAGGATATGCCTAATTTTCAAACATAAACTGCGGAGTGTGTAGTTAAGGAGGGCAAATTCTATAAAAAAGCTGCAGTCAGGGCAAGTTTGAAAAAAAGCTCCTTGGGAAGACCCTAAAGCGGACCCCTCCAGCAAGCGGAACAAACGCTAAAGAATAATAAGAAGAAGAAGACTTGGGAAGACTCTACACCTCCTGCTATCCTCCGTAGTCCGTATTTCGGGTAACGACGAAAATTCTCCATTTCTAACACTTTGTAAGGAAGTAAGACAAACGCACCTTAGATCTCGGCGGTGGCGGAGCTAATCGGATTTTCAGCCGGCGGTTTTCTGTTCTCAGCGAACCGATCTCGTCCACAAGACTACAGAGGACACCTGGAAATAGAAAAAATACATGTTACACTCCAAATCCTCGGTCCAACTTGTGGTAAAATATTCGTAGATATTATTTCCCACTAAATAATTCTGATATTTTGAAGCTCTTTTTCAGTTCTTCGTTGCGAACGATGTACTCTGAAAGATACAGATCACCACATTACCACAACTTGAAGGAGACCTACTCATTCACCTTGAAATAACGAGCTCTACGAGGACTTCGATCCCTTCAAAAAGGCCTAAAATTAGAGCCGTACTGCCTATAAGGTTCCATATATAGAAAGCCAACAGAGAAAAGAAATTAAATCAGCTGCAAAACCATGCAGCCGCAGAGTTACTAAATACTATGAAATTTCGTATAATGTATGCTATACGAAGTTATTTTTCTGGGGGAAATCGTTTTCAAAAACGTACTGAGTATTGGAGCAGGATCCTGAGGGACTTCGTCTTCCTGCTCGCTGTTCTGCAATGACGACCGCATGTCTTCAAGTTCACGTAAAAATTCATCCTCTTCTGACTCGTACCTGAATGACTATGACATCAGATTTCACTTCTGTTTCAACTAAGTCATCAGATTAGCAGGCCTTTGAAGCCTAAAGGGGTGCGCAGCGTTGGGTCCTAATTAATACAAGAAATTTATACAAATATCACTTGCGAGCAGCACAGTAGGCATAGTAGAATTAACTCGTCATTAACCTACGGCTTGAGTTTGAACCGTAACATTATACTACCTTCAATCCAAAGTCTGGTTTGGAAAATAGACCTTTTTGAAACAGTGTGAAAAAGGATAGATCGTCTACAGCAGGCTTCGAGGGTCGCCAAAAACAGCGCTGACGTTCAAATTACGTTTGGACATAAAATTAGTTGTCACTGATTCAAATCAGGCTTTGGAATCGGGGGAAATGTGTTAGCATTCTAGAAACGCCCTCTCCCCCTTCCTCCCCACTATGCGGGACAACCTGAAGAAATGGAGAAGAGGAGCAAAGAAACCCGAATTCTTGCGATAGTAATGACGATTGGTGCATTGCTTCACGCAAAGCATTCCAAAAATTTTTATGAATATTTAGCTGAGAATATTCCAAAAAGTGAAGTAATGTAAGGCGAATGGGGCGGACAATTCATTATAGTCTCCCTTGGGTTTGCACGTTAACAGGATTGTACGACGGTAACTGGTGACTCCAGCACAATGATTTTTGATCTGTTTGACTGAATCTATCATAAGAGAGGTCGCAACAGATGCATGACTGGGGATATGTAGTACTTTAGGATGTGTGGAACGTGGATGACGCCAAGGGCCCAACAGGCAACATCTAAGGCGCATTTTTCCATCAGGCTCTTTTCTTACCCTTTCTCTATTCGCCAGCGTGTTTTCACGAAAACTATGACTAAGTCTTCCGTAAGTACCCATTCATTGATTATATTTGGAACTATTCCGTAATTGACGTGATTCCCAATCAGGTACCTTGCGTAGTATTATAAAAAATAAGTTTTCTGTTTGTTACTATTTTACTTGTGGATATTTGAAAGAAACATGAAAACCATAGGCGAAAAATTGATTTGAGACAATATACAGTGCTTTATTCTTCGCAAAGAGCGGCTCAGAATGTAGTTGTGCTCGGCGCTGATTACTGCGTCACATGGTCTAGGGAATCGAAATTCTTCTCTGCCCTCACGCCAAATTAGCCTTCACCCTCCGTGATTATTTAATGGTACCAAACGTTGTGTGATTGTGTGGGGGGGAAAAACGCCAGGCACATTGGATGCTCCTCTCAATTCACTGTATATATGGATCAAATTCGCAATCGAAACGCCATACAGACAAGTGGATTTCGAGAAGAGAAAGAGAGAAAGAATGCCCCATCCTTCTGATCTTTAGCGTACGGCTATAGTGGTAGGAAGTGACCTCACACAGCATGCATGCGGTCCACGGGTCCAAGACGGTATCGAACCTGTTGTTCTAGCTGACCCTTCGTTTCTTCCAAGTTTCATAAGAAATTCGATTGAAAGCGCAGGATTTGTTTGGAAAGATGAGCGCTGACTGTAACTACCGTATAACTTGAAGCAGTAGAAAGAAATCTTTGACAATGCTCTGGTATTTGTTGGTCATAAACTCTACATATGGAATTTCTAGTAAAAAGGGAATCTGAAAAGGATTGTTGCAAGCTTCCTTCCCAACCTAATCTGTCCTGCTCCAGGATTTCTAGAGAAATGAAAAAACCAGCCATATATTCAAATTAGGAGCACTGTCATAACTCTGCTTAGCAAAAGCGCTCGAATCTGGCCCAGGTCTAGTCCCGGTTGGCTCAATATGTACTACAATTGAAGCATCGAGCATGACAACATCAACGAATTCCTTCTGTCCCCAAACGTTTCAATGTTCAAGGAAAGATGGAATTGCGGTGTGATTAGGACGAAAGTAAGGGATAAAATGGGTTAACACGCGTTCGTTCTAGATATGGAGCTAAGAATCGCCTTTTTTGTCCCGCTTTACCTGCACAAGCCGTAATTAGCTCTTTGTGACTTTCAAGTTCAGTGGCAGTGTTACCTTCAGGTGACAAAACCACTGAAAGATTGAACATCAACAGCAATTTTTACGACACTTTCACCCAATTCCAGTTCAGAAGCATATTTTTTCCACGAGTTCCTGACTGATTCATCATGAATTCGTCACACGAGAAACCTCTCGTGTTTTAGTTGGGGCTTAGTTAAATGTCATGCGGATTCCGTGATTTCCTATGCGAATGCGGGATTTCTGACGAGAGTCACTCTTATCCGATTTATTATGAGGTACGCAAGAAGCTTCTTGAACTGAGATTAGACATAAATGGCACTCAAAAAGATTGTCTATGATGAGATTGAACCAAGAAACCAAGAACACGAAGATCAGATTCAAAAAAAGCTCACTCCATTTAATAGATTCACTGGAAATAGAAACATGACGCGATGACAACGGGCTTCATCTTTATGTTTTCACTGAGGCAGCGACCAAGGTGTAATTGTGAAAGGCGACGCTTTTTCTGTCCCACGATGTCCCAGTTTAATCTTCGTGCACTACCACTCAAAATAGAACTGCGGAATAGAATTTGTAGCATTTCTTCAAAGTCACACACTTCCCTTTGAGAACGAGTTTCTCTCACCCGGGTACCTCTATAAAACGAAGGTTAGAGTCTACCCATCCTCCGTCCCCCTCTGCAAAAGCGATCTTCGTTCTCGATATTTTCAGAACGCTTGTTTCCTTTTCATCAGTGGTAGCTCGATTTCCAGGAGCAACAACTGCGCCTGTATTGGCACTTGCTATGGAGGTCATCATCCGATAAGAACGGCCTTGGGTTTCTAACTTGAATTCAAGCGACCGCGTTGAGTCACAAAGAAGAGCTGTACTGTAAGCGACAATACAAAGAAGGACCTCCTGAAGTCTGGGTTATGACAGAGATGCCTTCCGACAGCGACCAAGTGAAACTGCTAACGAGAATTGTAGACCGTGTACTGCGCGGGATATGCGAGGGAGAAAATAAGAATAAGAGTCTGGTTCCGCATCTTTCCGTTCTTCCAAGTAGTACTTACTGACCTTTCCGGTGCGAGTTCACCAGACACCCATTGCTCAACAAGGAACTCTCACAAATTCGCAACAAACCGGTCCAACAAAGCAAATGCGTGTCGAGTACAAACGAACGGATGTATTTTCACCTCTAAACATACAATTCATGCTGAAGGGAGGTTCCCTACAAACTTATTGTCAAGTCATTTGTATTTTTCGATAAGCTAAGGCGTAAGGATGCTGCGATGGAAGATTCGTAGCGAAATCCCTCATTCTTCAGGCAAATACGCTGAGCGAATGATCACAGACCGACTCAAAGTAGCCTAATCGACTTAGCCTAGACGTTTGTTGCTCATCATCGAATATCCGGAATAGTTCGGCATTCGAAAACCACTGAATTGGTTACCGCTGAGACTGCCGTGACGGTTTAACTAAGGAAAATAGTCTTTATATGATTTCGTTTTTCTCCAACTCCTCAAAAGTAGGTTGAAATTCGCGAGCCAGGCCATGCCGCCAGCTCAAACCGTGCCTACTATGTTACATTCAGAGCGCGCATTACATGCCAACGCAAATTGCACATAATCAGTAATCTCCTGCTAGTCACACGATTTTTTCATTTCCTATGACATCATCAAATTTGTTTCTAGATCTATCTCGTACTAGATACAACTTACAAGTGGTACGGATTCGAACGAAATTTTGCAGCAGAAAATTCATGATAGAAGGCAAAAGAAGGGTATCTGCCGTAGAAGTTTTCGACCGCGTAGTTAAATCATTGAAAAATTTTCCCTGTGTAAGCATAGGCAACAATCGCTATGCCAATTTCGTTGAAAGTAATTGAGTGTCACAGGGGTTTGGGGCACAGAAAAGGAGTTCACATTACATGTCTATGCACATCACCGAACTTTTCATCACGCAGGGTACCGCTGTTTGTGGAAGTTTTACGGCAAAATATTTTCAACAACTCCACCCATGGCGGAACTAGGCCCTTCACTGATCTCACCGCGCTCAGAAGATGACGTCGTCTGCCGTAGAACTCAGGCTCAAGGTGGCCTACCTTAATCGCTTTAGCCTGGAGCTGTTACATTATTAATTCGATCGCATAATTAAGGGTATAGCTTCCTAGAGACACTTAGATCTCAACTTCGAACTTTGCCCTTTTAAACGGGTCGCCACGGATCGTGGGACCAATCACGATTACTTGAGGCCCTCTGATCGAAACTCCGTTCTCGAGAGTCTCAGTAATCGCTGTTAGGTCCACGATCCGTGGGCGACCCGTTAAAAGCAGCGATTAGATAAATTCAAGCAGGGTCTTAATGGGGACGTTTCGTGTGCTCAATGTACGCCAGTAGCCGAAAAAAAGCGGAGAAATCCGTCAAGAAAACGCAAAACGGGACCCCTTTTTGGCCGTTGGTTTTCACTCATGAACAGGGTAACAGCTCAGAAAGCGGACGTATGAACGAGTTCACGCAACGCGTTTGGTGGCAGCATGCCAAATCCACGCTCCATCGAGTTGCTCCAGTTGTGCCGCTGCTGGCAACGCAGCTCGTCCAAATCACCAACTAAACTAGTGGGCGGATCGCTTTGGGGGCTTCGAAGTCCTGCTCAGAAATCCTTTCGTGCACACCAAAAGTGCCACATCTCGCTTCATGCAGCAAAGAAAATGCTTAGTGTGGTGCATATGCTTCCCCGATGCGCATACTCCTTATAGTAGTCGCTGCTTTTAATCTCGTGCCGAGCACCATGATCCCGAAAAAAATCTTCTGATGTCGCTGAGGTAGAAGGCTATCATGAAGTGTCTCGATAGAATGGAATGTTCTTCTCTATTTCCAATTAGGCGTATTCGGTTCAAAGCCGGCAGCGTGTAATAAATCCCGTTTTAAATGTGAAGGAAAGTGACCATTTTTTGTCCCCTCCCAAGTACATGATACAGCAATGAGAGCATACAAGCGGGACCATTCCATTTTTAAATTGCCACTTCTTCATGCTAACTTATCAACGAAGCCTTCACTGATAGATGCTGAAAATGACGGACTGCTTTATTAGCCTATTATTGCCTTTTCACATGAAATGAAAGCAGTAAAGCAAGAGCCAAAACGGAAGCGCGTGGCGACAGAGGAGCCAGGTGGTAAGATTTACGGATCTCGAAGAAATGTCGCCAAAATGTTCGGGGAAAAAAGTGAAGAATGATGTGTGGGAGGAATGATGAAAAGGTTTTCTCCGAATCAATGATGTCACACTCGGCCAATTATGTTCCCGAATGTATTGTACTGCGTGCAGCAGTGAAAGGGCCAAAGATAGAGGCACTGCGAAGACCA